TGCCATTGGATTTATATTTTCAAATTTTGATATAAATGTGTTTTAGTGGGGGCATGTTTTCTAGGTAAAAGTGATAATCATATTAGGATCCTTATACCACTGAAGAGATACTTGCTCTTCCTATTTTAATTCATATATTTGTATGAGTTAACAAAAAAAATAGCTTTAGCAATATTCCTTGGAGATGTGATACTGGACTTCAAATGTCTATATGAGCAGAACTAAATTTCTTGACTATCACAATTGTTGAGTAAAGTGCTTTTTCTCAGGCTAAAGAAAAATCTGAAAGCAGCAATGCTACTGCATAACACCTACAAGTAAATTAAAAAAAGAAATTTGTTCTTTTAACCTTTGTGCCTACATTCAAATTATGACTACTAGAACTGCCCCTTACTTCTTAATCCTTTAGGGGTATTTTGACTAGTTCCATTCCATTCTATGTGTTTTATGGGACTATTAACTAGGATTCTTTTTCAAAAACAGATACTCGATTTAGTATTTACATATTTTTCAGTATTAGCATGAAATCTTCTAGTAGAGAAGATTTTCTCTTTAAAAGATCATATTGAAATAATATAACCAATTATATCTGGCAAATGGTACCTCTTAGATGCAAACAATTGATTAAATACTTTCTGTTTAGATGTTCTTTTTTTTTTAAGATTTATTTATTTATATAAGCACTGGGTACAGTCAGAAGCACAGGAGGGTGAGAGAATTCACCAGAGCCAGAGCGGGGAGCAGAACAGGGAGACTGATGAAGTGCACTGCTGAGGGGAGCAGCGGGGCGGCAGGAGAGGTCTGTCACACCATGTGGGACACTTGCCGGTGGCTGGGGATTAAACCGGCACTGCATAGGCTGCGGGCAGCTTCACAGCCCAGCGCTCAACTTCTGTGCCACCAGGGAGGCCCTAGGTGTTCTTTATTGTCATGAACATCTTGATAATCTCAGAGAATGTGAGCAACTGGTAAACCAAGGCGACCCATTCACTGTCTTCCTCACCATTTCCACTTCAAATGTTTAAAGTTTATTTTTGAAAATTTCCTTTGCCTTCTCTGCCTCTCTTTCCAGATAATATGTGTATGAGCATAGGATATAGAAGGTGGAGGGTAGAAAGATAATTCTAAGTCACCCAAACATTTATTCATTCAGGAGACAAAATTTGTTTTCTGTCTACACTATGACAAGAGTAGTGCTAGGCACTGGAGATACAAAGATAAATAAAAGTTTCCCTCTTCAAAAAGCTCATAGTCAAGTACAGGTAACAAAGACGCTAGTTAGTTATTGTGGAAAAGGTGAAAAATCCTTTGATAGAAGCTATACCTGGATGTAATGGAATCATGGTTTAATGGGCACCTAGTTCTTAAGGATGAGGGGAGTGTGGTTTGGTAAAGTGATGCATGAAGGAAGTGGTAGGACTTGGAAGAAGGGAGAGAATGAATGTTGAGTGAAGGAAGTTGCAGACAGATGAAATAGGACCTATGATGCAGTGGACGCAGAAGACAGGGTAGAATGTTTGGGAATCAGAAGTGGTCGCTTTATTTGGAGCAGCAGGGTTTTGTGGGATTATGGAAACTAGAGAGTTAGGAAGGGGCTGCTCAGGAAGAGCTTTGCTAAAGACTTTAACTTCATTTCTTTCTCTATGGCTACCTTGTTATCTCCATATGGGGTCGTGATCTGGGCTTCCAATAGATCACTATTGGGAATGTTACCAGGACAGCATATTTAGCCAAAGGAGCAAGGAGAAAAGCCAATAATGGAAGGAAAGAAAGAAGAACTGATATTTAGAGCAGTGATTCAGAGTATGAAATCGGCCTACGTATTCATCTCAGCTCTATCATTTATAAGCTGAGTCACCTTGGGGAGGTTATTTAGCCTCTCTTTACCCCAGTATCATTATCTATAAGATGGAGATTAAAAACAATCCCTATCTCAATAGCTTTTTTTTTTAGAGTATCAAGCAATTTGTTTGTAAAGCTATTCCAACATGCCTTCTTAGCTAACAGATTAATATATCTGTTTATAAATAAAATATCAAATGCCTACTTTGACCCTGGATTTTCATAGATTTCACTTCATTTTGATCTTTACTGTAGCTCTGTGAGTCACTATTATTCACTGATTTTCACATATTAAAAAATTTAAAAAAACAGGTTAAGAGGGAGTTGGTAAATGCCTGAGGAACACAGGGAGAGACTCTGAATCAGAGCCCTTGCTGTCCACCTGGGGAAAGGGACAGGTAAGTGCTCCTTCAAGCAGAGTGGCGGTGGTCTATGCTAGAGACAAGCAGTTCCACAGAAGTCAGCCCAGAATTTGACACGACCTGTTTTAAGCTGGCTCCCATGCGGTAGGGAGGGAGACTTGAGGGTTGTGAATTGGATTCTCACTCCCAGTGGTCCTGAGGGCAGTCCTCACCTAGGAGGGTTGGATCCTTAGCTCAGAGAAGACACACGTGTGTGCAACCTCCTCTGAGAGAAATGTGTTACCAACAAAAGAATGAAGCTTCTTTCAAGAAATGCCAGGGGAGACCTGAGAAGTTACTAGTTACTGAATCAGTCTTGCAGTTAGAGGTTATTACTTTCTTTACATATTTTCCAAGCCTATGCTTAATTAGCAGTATAAGGCAGGAGTTAAGAGTGTGGATTCAGACCAACTGAACTCTAATTCCCAATTATGATGTTTAATGCTACTATTAGCATCTAATACTTGCTGACTATGTGAACACACACTAGATATTGGGGTAGGTACTTCATGTAAACTATCTCCTTTACTCATCACTGCAATTTGAAGAGTTACTACTATCACTTTTGTTTTGCAGCTAAGGACACTAAGGCTCAGCTAATTTAAGTCATTTCTTCAAGGTCAAACACCATGGTAGCTTAAAACAAGGCTTTAGAGTCTGAAGATGAGTCCTGAAATACTTTACAGATGCTATGAGCAAAGACAAGTTACTGAATCTCTCTGAGCTTGAGTGTCCTCATCTATAAAAACTAGAAATAATGACCTAATTCAGAGGGTTGATATGACACTCAATGAAAGAGACTGTATGTGTCTAACACAGTGTCTGGTATACAGTAGGTATTGCAAGTAGAGGTAATCTGCTGCCTGTCCAGCCTCAGAGTCTGAAGCACTCATTTGTCTGCTTGCTCAGATCAGTGCCCTACAAGCCTGCTTCATCTTCCTTACCACCTTCATCAAATCCTCCATGAGCTGCCATTGGGAGCATAGTTGGGAAGACAAGACACATCCTAAGAATTAAATTCATGGGGACTGATACATGCGCTAAAGAAATTCAGAGGGGGATTGCACCATTTTGGGCTAGTGGACTGAGACTACATCATAGAAAATAACGCTAAAGAAATCCTGCACAGTGAAAGAAACCAACACTGAAACAAAAAGATGCTCTACTGAGCAGGAGAAAATATTTGCCCATTAATGGGCTGATATCAAGGATCTAGTAAGAACTTAATACAACTCAACAAAAAGGAAATATGGGCAGAAAATGTGGGCAGAATAGCTAAATAGGCATTTCTCCAAAGAAGACATACAGATAGTCAATAGGTACATGAAAAACAAACAAACAAACAAACAAACAAACAGAAAAAACACACTCATCATCACTTATCATCAAGGAAATGCAAATCAAAACCACAGTAAGATACCAGCTCACACCTGTGAGGGTGGCCCATCTCCAAAAGACTAGAAACAGCAAGTGCTGGTGAGGCTGTGGAGAAAAAGGAACCCTTGTATTCTGTTGGTGGGAATGTAGGCTGGTCCAGCACCCAAGGGAGGCAGTGTGCGGGTTTCTTTAAAAGATTAAAATGGATCTGTCACACAGCAATTCTGCTCCTAGCTATTTACTCAAAGAATTAAAAAACCCTCTAATTCAAAGGGGGAACCTGCACTCCCATGCCTGTTGCAGCACTAGTCTCAATAGCGATGCTATGAACAACCAAAGCCTAAATATAGATAAGTGGATCAGGAAGATGCAGTATATGTACATAATTGAATACTCAGTTCTCACAAATGACCAACCCTTGCCCTCTGTGGCAACATGGATGGAGCTGGAGGGGATTGTGATAACAAAATAAGTCAAAAGGAGAAAGACAAATACGGAAGTTATCACTTATATGTGGACTATAGAGAAACAAAAGGGTCAGATAAGGGCAAAGTGAGAATGAACCTAGAAATCTGACTATAGAATGGAGGCATGGGGTGGGGGGAATTAAGTAGGGAGGGGACACAATGGACTATGGGGTCGGCTCTAGGTGTTTTGGTGCAGTATGGCAGTAACACCTGAGGGGGAGATCCTATACTTCTAAAGCACAGACATTGATGTAAACCAGTGTAACCCAATGGAAATTAAAGGCAATATTAATAACCGTTGTTGTATGGCCGTTCTCATTTTCCAGGCATAGTATGTACGCCCATTTCACATGTGAATAAGCCAAGGTGCAGATCTGCAGAATAAAGTCCCAAAGCTTATGAGCAAAAGAAAGAAAGAGAAAGAAAGCACTAAGATTTAAATCTGTGTATACAATTATATAATTTCTGGATCTCAGTGCTCCTGAGCTGTGCCTTGAACAATATAATGCAATGAAAATAACAGCAGCCACAGGAGCAGTGACTACTGTTTTTCAGTAACTGCTGTGTGTTAGGTCATTGACTTTGGTGGTAATCTGGGAATATCAGTTGAGCAAGGTTAGGACTCATGCGCTGAGCATGTGGAAATAAAACCTTAGAATTTGTCATTTAACAAATTATGAAGAAAATTGCCT